AGACCCTGTCTCAAAAAGACAAAATAAATAAATAAATAAATAAATAAATTTTCTAAAAGCAAGATTAGAGAAGATTCCAAAATCCTGCATAGCCCTTTCTCTTATCTCTAGAAACTTCAAAAATTTTAATTAACAGGCAAAATGATACTTTCATTTGGTGAAGAACTAGAAATAATAGCCCTTGGCACTGAAATCATGATGCTCACATGTTAATCTATACTTACCTTCCGAAGTTTACTTAGGCTGGGAAGCTGGGCCAGGGAACGTAGTGCCACATTAGCCATACTCAGAAATTCTAGCTCTTTGAAAGTGTCGTTCAGGCCCTCAATTTCCCCGTTGACACACAGGCAATTATCAAGGACCAATTCCGTCACCTGTAGGAGGAAACCCATCAATGCTTACTTTGCATGTTTAGCATAGGCCTTGGTTCTGACACTATGGAAATGTGAATGTTAAAAAATATCAATCTCCAAAGCTTTCCACGGCAGCTGCCTGAGTGTGCAGTCCCAGCTGCTCCCAAGGCTGAGCTGGGAAAACTGAAGATCACTTGAGCACAGGCATTCCAGGTCAGCCCATTACACCTTTAATACCTGCATTAAGGAGGCTGAGGCAGGATAGTTGGGAGTTTGAGGGCAGCCTGGGCTACAAAACACAAGAAAGCAAACCCTCACCTAGGTCCTTTTCATCCATTCCAAAACTGATATAGACCTCGCTATCACTATAAAACAAGAGCAATTTTTCAAATTTAATTTTGGACAAGTTCAATGCCTGTTTCAAATCACTGAGGCAGAAAAAAGGAAACTTTGAAAAAAGGTCCCCCTTCTCACTTCTGACCTGAGGAAGCTCCTTAACACAGGAGCACATATTTATGCAGGGAGGACACACCTGGGTTACCAGGCAGAGAGTCAAGTGAGCTATGTAAAAGACAGGAGGGAAAAGAAACTTTTTTTTAATCACTTTTCCAGTGCCATCATAACTCAAAAAAACCTTGTACCCTTTTATGCAGAAATGTCAGAAAGCTACTTCTGGGCCAGCACAGCTTTCAGGTGCCATATGAGGCCAAACAGTATCACCCAGAACAGTACATCCTTGCCAAATATTATTTCTCTCTGACACTCTGGCAGCAATTTTGTGGAATTTTTCCCACGAAGGAGGAGGGATTCTTTCACAGGCGGCTGCCTGAGTGGGCTTAAAGGGGAGGCAGGAGAGCCTGGCTGTCTACCACCAATGTAAAAATATGTTTATTTAAGGGCTAAAAACTAGCAACAGTGAATGCTACCTTCTCTACTTGAGTACCCCTTTGACATGATTTCAGTGGTATTACGATCTCCTTTTGACAAGTAAGGAAACCAAGATCCTAAAGTCAAGAATGACTTGCCTTGGGTCATACAATTAGGATGTGGCAGAGCTGGGCTGGGCCTTGACTCTTAAGTCTTGCTGCTCCAAGTGTGAGGTTAGTGGCAGGGCAAGTTGGAGGCCAGCGTAAGCTACACAGTGAGTTCAAAGCCAGTCTACAACGACAGGTGACTATGCCTCCCCTCTCCAAAAGAAGAAACTAGTTTTTCCCCTTGTATAAATCACTATATTGCCCTGAGACTCCGTTTATTAATTTGGATTCTAGAATAACACAATAAACCTTACAAGTGTGGCCAAAGAAGAAAATTAAATGCAAAACGTGTTTTTCGAAACTATCCACACAAATATAAAAAACATTACACGGGGCGGGGGAGCGGGGAGCTTCGAAAAGACGATGTTCTCCATCCTCCAATTCTGGCCAGAAAATTACTACAGCTCCTTGGGTTTAAAAATATGTGTAGGCTCTAGTCATTAAAAAAAAAAAAAAAAATCAACCTAAATGTAAGTTTCTGACAAACAGCTTTTAAACTTTACTCTTTTTCTCCTAAAGACCTAAGAATATGTAAGCGCTAGAAAAGTTGACGTTTTCTCTGGGATGTCCTTGATAACGGTGACAGTTTCCTCCTCCCCGCCTTCTGCCAATTTCAGGGACGCAGGCCCCCTAAAAGTACAGAAAGTGCTGAGTTCCCACTCTCCGCAAAAGCCCGTCCTCTTTGCTGGTACATCCAGGCACCACGCCACTTAAAAATAAACACGTGTGTGTGTGTGCGTGCGTGTGCGCGTGTGTCTCCCCGTACTCCAGTCCTAAGGTTCGTTTCAAGGGTGCAAACTGGCGCGATCTGGCCGCCGGCCCCTGTGAGCCCCAGCGCAAGGCTCCTCGCCGGCCGCGGCCCGCCCCGGGGTCTGCCGCGGCCCCGACCGAGCC